CTTAAGAACATAACCTTCAGCAGTCAAATTCCTGACATTTGACGGCTTGAGTGAACATGAAAATATGCTAGCACAAAATGTAGGCTAAAAGACCAAGTAAAGATCTCTGCTAACATGAGCCAGTTTTTGCTAGGAAAGCACCATAAGAGATGGAAAGGAATTCAGCTTGGTTCAAGCTTCAGCATTTAGATATGTCTGATGCACTTCTCATTTCCTTAATATAAATTCTCTTCTCCTCTAGGTGAATCCAAGCACAGAAGATAACATGAGCAAGCTTACTTCAAAGGCTATTTTCATGCTGCTGGAATTTGCAGAGGACCGGGAGCTACAAATCTTACACTTCCTTGTGTTCCTAGTACTTTACTTGGTAGCAGTAACAGGGAATCTTCTCATCATCCTTGCCATTGCCCTTGATCACAATCTCCATTCCCCCATGTATTTCTTCCTCATAAATTTGGCCATGGTGGGCCTCTGCACAATTTCTGTCATTGTACCCAAATCCATGGCTATGTCCCTCACAAATGGCAGGTCAATTTCCTATTTTGGTTGTGTTGCCCAGGTTTTCCTGTATCCCTTTTTTGCCACAACAGATCTGGCCCTCCTAACAATAATGGCGCATGACTGCAATGTTGCTATCTGCAACCCACTCCACTACGAGAGAATCATGCACAAAAAACCCTGCCTGCAGATGGTAGCCTTTGGGTGGCTTGCTGGTATTCTTAACGCTGGTTTGAACACTGCTGGGACCTTTACACTCACCTTCTGCTCTAATGTTGTCCCTCAGATCTTTTGTGGCATACCACCAATATTAAAACTTGCCTGCTCTGCCCTGTCCCTGGTTGAACTTGGGATCATTGTGTGAGGTTTCCATATAGCAATGGGTTGCTTTGTATTCATCATCATTACATATGTGAAGATCTTTATCGTAGTCCTCAGAATCCCCTCGGTACATGGTCAGAAGAAAGCCATCTCCACCTGCCTTCCTCACCTTACTGTTGTCTCTTTGCTCATATTTACTTCAGTATTTGCCTATGTGAGGCCTCCCACGGATGCTTCTTCTGATTTGGGCATAACTTCTGCTGTGATGTACACCACAATTCCTCCAATGTTGAATCCATTCATTTATAGCATGAGAAACAATGAGATCAAAGCTGCTTTATGGAAATTGCTGCATTTTGAGCGTTCCTCTAACATGTTCTTTCCATGACTCAATTAAAGTACATCGTATGTGAATACTGTGTTGCATGCAAATTTTTTTTTCTGAAAAATTTAATGCTCTGCTAAAACATGAAGTGCTCAGTGAACGAATACCCTGTTGAATTCTATTGATAATCAATACATTTCAGTTGAATTCAGACCAGTCTTTTACATTTTCTCTCTTTATCGCTGCCTATTCCAACCATTGATTATTCTGCATGGAAGAATTTTGACATGTGATTGTTCTCTTGCCTACTGCAGGGTCACCAAAGCCGCCATGGCTTTTCATGTCATGCACTCCCTTTGAGGGTGTATGCTGTGGCCCTGTTAAGTGTGCAGGACACGATTGGGCAAATCAGGGATTGCACTAGATAACCTGGATTTGATCCTCTTTATTTCCTCATGGGTCATACCACTTAATCCACAATTTGCCACAGAGGCAGCTTGATCCTTGAAGAACACACACTGACCAGTTTCACTGAAATGGTGCAAACTGTGCTTGGCCTGGCTGAGGGTTGAGCAATCCAGATAGTGCTTGCACACCCCCAGCATGTGCTCCAGCTCACTGCAGATCAGATATAGCACAACATGCTGGCCATGCCATGCAAACAGGCCCCATTTGCCCCAGGCAAGAGACCAAACTGGCCCTTGGGTCATTCTGTCTCTGACACCGAAGGCACAGTTAAACTCAAACTTGCCACAGCACTGGTCACCACACTATATCAAAATTGCCAATGTTCTGCTCCTCTGAAGAACATGGCATTTAGTAGCCATAATCCCCTGACATTTTACAGGATGAGTGAACATGGAAACATTTTAAAAGAACACATGAGGCTGAAAGACCAAGAGCAAATTTCTGCTCACTTCCAGGACTAGTTACCTTCCCCCATGTCCAGGGCGGCAGCGCAAACAAAGGCTGAATCGTGTGGGGTTTTTTTTTCATATTTTAGTGGCTTCTCACCAGTTTTAGTGGCTTTCCAGCAGTTCACTAGTTATCAGTTCACTTTTACCCATTTCACTAGTTCACATTAGCAGTAAGCATACCCACCACATCCCTTGATGATTAGAGCACATGCTTTGGTGTGTGTGTGTACATTAGTGCAACAAAGGGACATGAGAAATTTATGAGTGTCGGGATGTGTTACAGAACTGTTTTGAGGGTGGGAATCCACCAGCTTCCTTGTGCTCAGCTCCCTGGACTCTGGTCTCTTTTCCTCTTCCCTTAGCTGAAGCTCCTGAGGGGTACACATAGCATGGCCCTTGCCAGGAATTGAGTTGCACATGCTGTGGAAATGGCATGTCTCTTCAGTACCATGTGCAGTTGCCCTTGTGTGTGCTGTTGTACCAGACATGGAAGAAGGTTGGTGCCTGGGTGACTTCATCACAGCAGCAATCATAGATACAATCTTGGCTTGGCTCACTGTGTAGGTCTGGGCCAAACCCAAGAGAAGCCCACAAATGCCAGAGGAGCAGATTCCATGAGGTTTCCTCCCAACCCTTAATGACCAGAAGCAAATCTGAGATGGAATAGAAGCAGACTTGGCATATACCCTTATGGCTATGTGAGCATGAACAGAGCGCTTCTGCGCTTAATATATATTCCTCTCTAATGTTGTCAGGTTTTTATTACAGGAGGTAGACCCCACTGCATTCCAGGGAACATGTTTACACCCTCATCAGAAAGATCAGTGTATAATTGTTTATTTATATATGTATTCCATAGCAACATACTATACTTAAAATTATGGGCTAATATTAACTTTGCTGTACATGCAGAAGAAACAACATTGCAGTAGGTGGGAAGTTCAACAACATTTCTGAAGCAATATGTTTGCCTTTGGGAGTGATGACCCCTGGAGCCCATGCAAGCTTTAAAGGTGCTCCTTCCCATGTATATTGTGGCAGTACAGCGCCGCTCACTTTGCTCTCTCTCCTCTGCAACTGTGGGCACAGTCAAGTTGAGGTAGACACAAATAACCAGCAACACACTTTGTGGCAATTACCACAGCGTTGACTGAAGGTGCTTGCATGAGAGGATGCATGGACTTGCATCCTCTGGACTACTGAGCAGCTGAAGCAGCTATAGGAGGAAGTCCACGTCAGAAGAAAGGGTGCCCATTGAAAAGGCTTGCAGGGGATCAGGTAAGTGTTGTTGTGCACTGTGTGCCTGGTTCAGTCCAGAGTTGTGCTCAGCCTTTTACTTTCCCTTTATCAAACTTCCAAGCTGACAAATTCTTTGCACGCACAATTTTGCTTGAAAGGGCTGCTTCTCTCCCCATTCCCCTAATGACTGGAATTGATGGGGCTAAAGGAGACTCAGCAAACTAACCCCCTCAGCTTCAACTGACCATGCCTTTCCTAAAATACCACCAAACTGTTCTCTTATATGCTTTTTATGCCAAATGCAGAAAGAGAAAATATTTTACTCATTTGCTTCAATGCATAGCAATCCCCTTGTATGCCATAAGTTCTCTTGATTAACATGCTAATATGAACCAATGGAACTGTCTAGACACTTGAGATGTATTTTCAATTTTCACAACACTATTTATAGGAAGAGTGGAAAAGTCGAGCTGCAGGGTGGTGGGAGCTGGAGGGAATCTTCAGGGTACATTTCCCATGCATGCATCCTTCTCCAAACTTCATGCCCAAAAGTCCATCCAGGACATGTTCTACGTGAGCATGTAAGTCTGGATTTGGGTTCTCAGGAACTTTAACTTCAGATAAATCTGATTCCTAAAACAAAGAGAAATTGTACTTTGCAACGTCTCAAAATCATGGATTTGAATTACTGGATATTGTTAGCTAGTTTCACTGAGTACAGAGTTCCTTCATATGTACATCTCTACCTAGTTCATCTCCCTTTCTTTTCCTGATGAGTTCCAGACTATCTTCTCTTCCCTTCTTTCTTCATGCTTCAATATTTAGTCACTGACATGCATAGACCCATTGAGTGAAAGAGAATGAAAAGTTGTTCAGAAACATGCCATCTTCCCAGCACCGTTTGTTTCATCACCCACACTTTGGTACAATATAGGCACATAAGCTGACAATTTACTCCTCGGCCTTGCATATCTGGCAGCTGAGTTAGGCTGACAGCTTTGTCTTTGGAGGCTATGGTGAAGTCTCCTCAAGGCCATGCATGCTCCCTGACTGATCTTTACAATGTCTTGGTTTTGCAATGGCATATCTGGGAGGACATGTCCAGAGGTGTGTGTTTGCCTCCAGAGGTAAACACATTTAGTAACATGCCATTCATCATGATTTGATGTGTCTAATGCACTTCCCAATTCATCGATATCAAATCTGTTCTTCTTCCTCCTTTAGGTGACTCCAAGCACAGAAGGTAACATGAGCAACCTGACTTCCATGGCCACATTTTTGCTGCTGGAATTCTCAGAGGTCCGGGAACTACAGATCTTACACTTCCTTGTGTTCCTGGTGATATACTTGGTAAAAGTGACAGGGAACCTACTCATCATCCTTGCCATTGCCCTTGATCACCACCTACATACCCCCATGTACTTTTTCCTCATCAATTTGGCCATAATGGACCTTGGCACGATTTCAGTCATTGTACCCAAATCCATGGCTGTCTCTCTCACAAATAACAGGTCAATTCTGTATTCAGGTTGTGTTGCTCAAGTTTTCTTTTATTTCATCTTTGCAGCTGCAGACATTTCTGTCTTGAGTATAATGGCTTATGATCGCTATGTTGCTATCTGCAACCCACTTCATTATGAGAAAATTATGCACAGAGGAGCTTGCCTTCAAATGGTAGCCTTTGGGTGGCTTGCGGGTCTGCTTTATGCGACACTGCATACTTGTGGCACCTTTGCAAACACCTTCTGTTCCAATATTGTCAGTCAGTTCTTCTGTGAAATCCCACAGTTATTAAAACTTGCCTGCTCTGACATTTACCTAGTTGAAGTTGGCTTCACTGTGCTAGGTTGTCATGTAGGGGCAGGATGCTTCATCTTCATCATCATTACATATGTGAAGATCTTCTCTGCAGTGTTCAGGATCCCTTCTGTACATGGTCAGAAAAAAGCTCTCTCCACTTGTCTTCCCCACCTCATCGTTTTCTCTCTGCTCGTATTCAGTGGAATCTTTGCCTTTGCAAGGCCTCCCAGTGACGCTTCTTCCAGTGTGGACATAGCTTTTGCTGCGATATATAGCATAATACCTCCCATGTTGAATCCATTCATCTATAGTATGAGAAACAAGGACATCAAGGCTGCTTTATGGAAATTGCTGGATTTTGCACACTCCACTAAAATACTATAGTGTTTGTCTAAATCATTTTCTCCCAATAGTCATTAAAAGTACCATTCTTTTGTCTGTAAATGTTTTGCACATCACTCTTCATTCCTATTAAGTATTTATTTAAAACTTTTGCATACCATCCCTTATGTATGGCATCTCAGTATGGCCTATTTGAATTTTTCATGCAATGTTCAGAGTTGTGCTAAAACCTTTTTCAGTGTTTAAATGATCGGTGCTAAGGCATAGATTTCTCATTTCCCCCTTTAGCCTCTATTTGGTATATTTGCAAATGAAAAGCAGGGATAAGTAGAAGGTAAGGCACATTGCATTCAGTAGAAACCTGGGCCCCATAAATTTTAAGCAAGATCTGCAAAGTTATGGATGACTTCACCTGATTGCTCCTTAACCCTTAAAGCCAATTCCTTAGCAAGATCAGTACAATAATGTTCACCAAACTAGTAATCATGGTAGCAATGAACTGCAGGGTGGCGGAAGCAGGAGAAAAACTTCTTGGTCAATTTCCATACCTTCCCCAAAATTCAATCTGGGGTTAAACCCAAATTGCATTGTACTTTACTGGGGAATAAGTTCCAGATTAATCTGCTGCTGATTAAGTCACTGGAGCAGATTTCTGCTTAAACCAAACAGGGTTGCATTCCCATTGCTTATTGCCAAGTAATCAGCCTTTGGGATGAAACAGCAATTGGTTCAAGATCTGGGACATCTTGATTTTGCCATCCCAAGCATTGCAGGTAGGTCAGCAGAAATGGCACCTGGCACGTCCTCTTCCACTGCAGCCATCATGGCCACTTATTCCTTCTACATTGGTGATCGGACAGCATCCAATGCGCTTTGTATGGAAACTGCTGACAAAGCACTCCCATGGACATGGGAGAACATCTGGACAGCCACAGGAGTTTGTAGATTTTTTCTATTCTCATTCCTCAAAGAGCAGAGAGCACTGGGCATTCCCATAGGATAACTCCTTATATCCATAAGAGAAGAGGCTGCGATACCTCATAGGCTTCTTCTAAGGATAACATGGAGGGCTGGAGAGGTTTATGTAGTTCACCTTAGGTTTCTTGGTGAGATATAAATATGATAAATAAAGGAAGAACAAATGAATGCATGCATGAATGAATCTGCTACCACACTGGACAAGATAGGATGGGTTTCATTTCATTGCATATCCCCTTAGGCACAGCAGTGGCAATTTCCACATGTGTCAGATGTTTGATCTATAGTCTATCTAAATTATTCAGAAGAGAAAGGAAAGAAGTCTGGGATGCTGATAAGGGATGACCTAACTCTGTGGCTGCAGCCTCTTCACCTCCCTACTTCCAGATGGTACTTTTCCCCTTTTGAGGCCCAGACACTACTTTTGGAGCAGAGTAGCTGGCATGTTGCTTTCCATACCAGCTGCAGAGTGTTTCTGGGCAGAGTCTTGGTCTTCAGAGTCCCAGCTCTGGCTGTACAGGATCTAAAAGATGGGACTCCAGATGGCCTTATGGATAATGTGAGGTGGCCATGGAATAGCCCCCTAAGTAAGCTAAGCAGTTGACTTGTTCATTGCCTACTCCTGATTATGGAGTACCGTTTCAGGAACTGTGATATAGAGGAATGGAATTAGCTGTAAAAGGGGTTCAGCTGGAAAAGATACAGCTTAGGAATGGTAGGTGTTGGGAAAGTCCAAACAAATCCTCAAATAAAAAGGTATGCTTTTGCAAGTCCTTTAATACAAAATCTGGCCGCAGGGCTCTTACTCCCTCTCCCCATCTTTCCCTTTCTAGTTCCTTACCCAGGAAAAGGAAATGCAACCCCAAGATAAGCAAATGATCTACTCATTCTCAGCTCCTGATTGTCCAGCTGAAACAGAAACAATGTCACAAGATTGGGGTAGCAGTTCTTCCTTTTCGATGTAAAAATACCTATCCAGCTCATGCTTTGTCTTATGAAATTCTGTATCTCTGACTGCAAACAACACAACATTTTAAACCTGTTGGATTTTGTAACTCATGATTGTTTTATTTGTTATCTGTTACTCAAGCCTTCGATGGGCTATGATGTTTTTCCTGATGAGTATAATGATTTCTCAATTCTTCTGTATTATCCCAGATTGTTCTTGCCTTCTCACCCATCCAGAATCTCAACCCAGCCTTGAAACACTGTATGTGACCCACAACTTGTAAAAAAAAACCTTTGTCTGTGCTCTGGAAATGCATAGCCAGTTCGGTGCACTCGCTACCCAGTACTACCGTACTGGTGTTTTCTCTGTCAGAGAAGGATTTCCAGGGTGCCCTGCCAATAACTGCTGAAACTGCATGTGGCATCTTCCATGTGAATCCAAATGTACATTCTCCTGGTTCTGCAATTCTGAAATTTCCAGAGATAGGCAATTATTCCTAAAATATGCATTGAAAAAATATATGATCAAAATTTCAGTTCTGTATACATTGTGCATTTATTCATTCATAAACCTATAACTTCCTCTGCCTTCACCAAGATCTCCCTCACCTCATGTGAGTGTAAATCAGTGCAGAAAAATTGCAGGAGAAACTTGTGAGTAAATAAAGTGATGTGTCACAAAACCGTTTGGGGGTGAGAATCAGCTGGATTCTCTGTGCTCAGCTCCCTGGAGTGTGGTCCAATTTCCTCTTATTTGAGTCTGAGTTCCTGGAAAGTACACATAATGTTCAAGGGGCACTTGCCAGAAACTGAGCTAAACATGCAACATGTCTCTTCTAGCCATGCCTTTGTCTGTGCTGCTGCAACTGATACCCAGGAAAGTTGTTTCCGCGGAATTAGACAGGAATGGAGCCACCTGACCATCGCCCAAGCAGCATCCATATTCTGTGGCCCCTGCAGCAGCTTTTGTGCTGCTCCATTACACATGGAAGAAAGTGCATAGTTTCATGACCTCAATTATGCAAGCATTCAAGGGCTCCCTCTTAGCTTGGCTCATCAGACGAAGCCCACAACTGCCAGGAGGACAGATTCTGCTAGGACCAGTCCTAACTTTTTGTTAACTACTGAGAAAACATCCGCTATTTGGGGGTATAAAATTTGTAACAAACAAACCCTAAATAAGGACATACCAAGGCTTGTCATACATCCTGATGGATTTGTGGGCATGAACAGAGTGCTTCTGCCATTTGTATATATTTTTCTCTACTGTTGTCAGTGTTTTAATACCTGAGGTAGAACCAACTACATTCCAGAACTGCAGACATAACTTGATCAGAAAAACAAATGCATACTTTCATGTCAAACCTAGCAGATTTAAAATTATCTGCTAATATTTCCTTTGTTGTACACGTGGAAGAAACAACCTTGGTGTAGGAAGGAAGTTCAACAACCTTTCTAATGCAACATGTTTGCCTTTTGGGACCAATGTCCCCAGAAGCCAAAGCAAGCATAAAAGAGGCTTCCTCCCATGTAGGTTGAAACAATTCCCAGCTGTGCACTTGTGCATCTCTCCACTATAAATCTGCAGTCACTTTCATATTCTAGTAGACACAAATAACCAGCAACACATTCTGGGGCAGTTGATGAAAGTGAGTGATGAACGTGTTTGGATGACCGCATGCATGGACCTGCAGCTCCAGACAACGAAGAGGCTAAAGCAGCTGGAGGAGGAAAGTCAATGTTAGAATAAAATTTGCCATTTGAAAAGGCTTGCTGGGGTTGGGGTAAGTGTTTTAATTTGTTGTGCTCCTGGTGCAGTTGTGGTCAGTCTGTTATCTGTATTCTAATCAGATGTATTATTTGAACATATTTATGATATTGCTTGGAAGTTGCTGTTGCTCTCTCAATTCTCCTGGTGACTGATATTTTGGGACTAAAGGACAAGGAAAGAACTGCTTCAGCTACATTTGACCATGCATTTCCTAATTTTCAAACTGCTCTCTTGCATGTGTAATGCATCAAAATGAAGAAGGCAAAATGTTTACACTGTGAACCAATGACTCTCCAATAGCAGTATGAACCAATGCAACTAACAATCTAGATAATTGTCTGTGTGCTGATGGAAGACACGCTAGGAAAATGAGTAACAAGATTATTTTCCCCCTTGACCATCAAATGTGAATTCGGTCCTCCAACATTACTCCCATGCAATTCCTGTTTCTTCTCCAGTGTTATCTACCTGATGTAATACATGCACAAGCTACATGTTGTATTCTTCAAGAACACAAATTCTCTCTGTATAAGTATCAGTTGGTGACCTCTTAGAAAAATCCATTAGCATGGTCAGTAATCCATTGGTCCACTGAAATTCTTTAGTGGATTTCCTACCAGATTGATGCATGCAGTTACATTTAGCTATCTAGAACAAGCAGTTTAAGTCTAAACAAAGCTGAAGTGCCCTTGGAACAATATGCTGCTCTACAGGGATATGGGCAATATTTTATTTCTGCCTTATTTTCCTTTCATGGTACTCTCAATTCAATTCAATTCAATTCATTTCTCCTCCTCCTCCTCTTCCTCCTCTCATTCTTGTCCTCACAAGAACAGCTCTGTGGAGTAGGAAGGGATGAGAGTTTTTGACTGGCCCAAAGTCACCCAGTGAGCTCCATGGCCAAGTGGGGACTAGAACCCAGATCTCCTGAGTTCCAGTCCCACTCCCTTAGCCACTACACAGGCTCTCTATTTAACATGTTGGTTTCTGGTTCTCTTCTGCCCGGAAGATCAATGCAATAATTTCCACAAACCTAGGTGCAGTTAGAGACAGTAAGAAAAGCTACTGCGTGGTGGAAGGTAGTAAGAAAGATACATTTTGTTTGCCTGCACTCTTCCCTCAAAAGTTAAGACCAAGGCTTGAATCCAGGATCTGTGTTGCATGGATGGAAGGGCTTAACTCACAAAGCAGGCACACATGATCCTCTTCAATCAGCCAAGCAGACCCCCTCCCCCACCCACCCACCCAGACACACACAGGTCTGCCTGATGAACTATAAATGGAACTGCTATCAAGTGACCACAATTATGCAGCCACACAGACTTTCTAAAGATTAAATTGCATGCAAAGTCTCTTGTAAGGCCAAGTTCAGTTCTGATAACTTCTGAGGGAAGCCATCTTTGCCATGGAAAGCACAAGAATTGATGGAAAGGGCCTCAGACTTGAGCATTTAGATGGATCTGCTGTGCTTACCAATTCATCAAAATCAAATCTGTTCTCCTTCCTCCTCCAGGTAAATTCAAGCACAGAAGATAACATGAGCAACCTGACTTCCACGGCCACATTTTTGCTGCTGGAATTCTCAGAGGTCCGGGAACTACAGATCTTACACTTCTTTGTGTTTCTGATACTATACTTGATAACAGTGACAGGGAATCTTCTCATCATCCTTGCC